TCTTTGAGATGTGTAAAAGAAAAGTAGAAAACTCCAGCCTATTTGGACCCATGGAGCTACTATAATAACAACAATTAATAAAGAAAAATGATGCTGGACCAAAATTTTCCTACACATCACTTTTACCAGCAAAAAATGTTGTTTCATTGAAATGAAAACACTTCAGTGTTTTGATGAAACAAACATTATTTAGCAAAAAGAAAGGAGGACAAGAGGAGAGAAAAACATTTTTATACTAGAATGGCATGCCTGAGGTTTTTTCATTTTTATACTTCTCTGTCACAACAAAATAGAAGGAAAAAAGCATCAAAAAGCCAAACAAACCACCTAAAATTAGGCAGAGAAAATCAATATTAAAATGGATGGGAAATGCTTATTCTTGTTCTGAGAAAAAACAGGTTTGAAAAGAGCAGGACTTCCCACAAATCTGAAATTCTATTTCCTGCGCAGCTAGTAATAAGAAAATAACTGTATATTTCAAATGCCCTATACCTCCACGTAAGTATTACTGTACTTACACACCAAGTATTAGCACACGTTTACATTTTCTATTCAATAAAGTTGCTATGCAACACTCTGCAACAGACTCCTTCACTTCCGTACAGTGTGCTCAGCTGAAGTAAACTGCTTCCAAACGATGAATCAGTTACTAAATTCTAAGTGGAAACTGGAAGAGCATCAAACACAATGCAAGGACTCTGCTTAAGACCAATGCAACAAGAAGGAGTAAACTGAAGAAACATTTTCTGCTCCAACATCAAAAAGGTGTAATAACAGAGTGAAAGAAATTCAAAAGACCAGAAATGACTCCAGACCCCCTGCTCAAAAGCAGACAGAAATAAAACAAAACCACCCTCCCCCCTCCCAGCCTTATGTCTTGCCAGGAAAAGAAGGGATGAAAGAGGTAGCAGAAACAGCGCTTCACCTAGCAACCTGACACACAAAAGGATAACAACAAATGGATGTGGAATTTCACCCCACACCCAGGACACAGACATGTCCACAGCAGAAAGCAGCTACTGCTGACAGAGACCTGGAGAGTGTTTTTTTTACCTCTTTACACTTGTTCAGTGACTCTCAGGGCTTCTCACACCAGCTCACAGCCATGGAATTGAATCACATGGTAGAAGGACCAGAACAATCCCTAATTTTTTGTTCCATGCATTTTCAAACAAACCCCCAGAAGGCAGCATTCCTGGGGCTGTAGTCAGGAATGCAAGAGATAAGTGGGAATATTAATGAAGGTGTGATATGTATTACAAAACTAGGGCACCTCGTGTTTTCTCTAGTACACTTCAAAGATGACATGCAGTTGGAGGAACGATCAGATGGGGCAGAGCCATGGACTTCTTCATCCAGAAGTGAAATCAGAAATGGTCAGTAGCACATCCTGTTGAGAACTGCAACAAATGCAATTGATTGCTGATAACCCATAGCTAAAGATCAGCTCTAACCCTAAAGCAAGGAGGTTTGAAATCTAGAAGTGTCTCTACATGAGCTTTCATCCTTTGATGAGAAATGCTATTTGTCAGATCCTTGTGGGATATTGTTTCAAAGCCTCACAAGTTTCACTGTAAGGAAAGACTTTCAGTAACATGTTAAGAATATAGACAGGTAAGCAGAATGTAGACATATCCAATTTAGGTATTTAAACTTCAGCCTTGTCTACCTGCCAAGAATACAAAATAACTTGTTTAATAGGTGATGCTTTTTCCTCTACCATGATGCTATTTCCGTAGAGTCATTCTGAATATTCTCCCTCCTAATTTTCCAGCATTGCTTCTTTTTTTGCTTCACATAGCATAAAATTTCCATCAAATTTCTCCAGAAATTTCTCTTTTCAGTATGTAGACTTTTCAAATGCTGGCTGGTTATTAGAGTGTTACTGTTCTCTGGATACTAAATAATCTACCCAGACAGGTAGCACTCTTCCACTCATGCAGTAATCACTCAGGTTCCTAATCACTTTGTCCATTCTCCTGATAATAAACTGCCATTATTGAGTCCACATGGCCAGACTCCTCTGTGAAAATTGGTGCCTGCCTGAGTGCTCATGTGGAAGCTTTTGAAATGCCACCGGTGAACTCTGGGCCACACTGTCCCATCACAGCCTTCTGAACATGGCCAAATATCTGCCTCTGGGATTAACTTTCCTCCACCTCTCCAAATACCTCACTCCCCCACCAAGACCTCAATTTCCCTCTACCTCCTACTGTCTCATTTCCCACTTTCTTTGCTAGCACCTGTAACACCTCCAGCTTGGCATCATCAGTATATCTCACTAATAGACTTTCCTCTTGCTTCACATCAGTAATGAAGAGCTTTAAAAAGACATTAAAAAAAGATTTGTGGTCAAAGGTCTCATTAATTATGTTTGCTGTACCCCACTAGGCACCTTCCTCCAATGCAGCTCATTCCCATTTATCACAACCCTTTGTTTACAGCCTCTTTGCCAGTTTCAGCTCTCGAGTCAGTGCTTCCTCTCCCAGGGAATCCAATTTATTTCCTTTTTTTTTTTTTTCCCCTTTGTTTAATGGCAGGATGTCTTTCTTCCAAAACATTTTCTGCATTATAACCGCAGATTTATGTAGCGAGAAAGATATATAAAGGTTTAACCACAGAGTAGAAATTAAAACAGTATCAATTTCATACAGGTGAAGTTTTATACTGATAAAAGGAGCAGACAAGCGGCATCACAGCTGGGACAGCCAGAGGAAATTCAACCGCCTGTGCTCTGCAAAGGTCAGACAAGATGATTGAAAGCAACCCTGGTGCCTCTGCAAGGACAGAGCGGGACCCTGGTGGGCCAGCTCATGCTGGTGGCGGAGCGACTCTGGCTGTTCTGGGAGATGAACAGGAATAAAACAAGGCCTTGACTTTTCGTCAGTCAAGCTTTGCTCCTGACCACTGTTGTCCAGCAATTAACATGGCAGACATCTGCAGGAGTCAATTGGCTATCATTCAAGATGTTCCCACTCTCCACTGAGGTTAAGTCTACCCTGATAAAAGGGATCAACCTCAAAGTGGTTTTAAGCACAGGCTCATGGGACTCCTTACAAAGCAGGGAGGAAAGGGGGCTGCATAACATGAGGATGGTGCGGCCCTTACACAGCCAGCCATACACTCCCTGGAAAGGGAGAATGTGGCACACACAATCTCCAGGCCACCCGCTCACAGAAGTGATGTCCCCCCACTGCAGGGGTGCATGCTCACAGCAAGGACTGTGGCTGGCTCCCAGCCCTCTCCTCTCAGGAGAAGGGCCAAAAAGATAGAGACAGGCTGAGGGAGTTGTGCTGACAGTCAATAGATAAAAGGTTGTTCTTGGTTCCCACCTTTATCAGCCCATGTTAGACCTGTCATATGCCTGGGTGTGTGCTCAGTGCCCAGACCAGCTGCTCCTCTGCCTGGTACCCTCCTGCCACATTGGACACAGTGTGCCTCAGTTCCTCCTCAATAGCTTTCAGCTCCCACTCAGAGATAAAAATAAACCCAGAAAGAGAGAAAAGACCCCTTTCTAGAAGGGTTTTGCATGGAGCCAGAGACCCTGAAATCCACCTTCATAGCATGTTCAAGAAATAGGTAGCATCAGGAAAGAGACTTTGGCACAAGGGAAAACATATGATGTAGATTGGAAGGTCAGCTGTGTAAACTTCCTTGGATCTGGAGAAGAAAAAGGAACATCTGAGCTCAAGTGAAGGATTAGGAGGGCTCTGGCAAGGTGTTAACCACTGTGGACAGCCTGATTAGAGAGATTACGCGAAGAGCAAAGAGGATTCCTACCGTTCTGCAAGACAGAAAAACTTCCAGACAAAATGCTTGAAGTCTCACAGGGCTGCACGTGGCAGCTGCTGCCTTTGCACAGGGAATAGCCAGAAACATCAGAGTAACGCAGTTCAGCATTCTTGCAAACCCCTGATCCCAACTGTACATAACCTGCCCACCAGTTCGCTTCTATCCACCTGAATACAACCACAGCAAAGCCTGAATCACCTCCATTGATGTTTCCTGCAGCTGAATAACAAGAGCAGTGCCTGCGTACTCACTTCAGGGTTGCAGGAAAATGACACTGATTTAAAAACAAAAAACAAACCAGGAGAGGCAAAGGAAGGGAAGAAGAGGGAAGAAACAGTTCAACACCAATAAAAACTGCAAAACATGACAAAGAGGCTCGTCTTGTCCCCATCCTTTGGGAAGGGGGGAAGCAAGGGTCATGGAGGGGCCACCTCCACTGTGGGAGCAAAACATGTGAGTGGCACATGCCCCAGGGCTGTGACTCACATCCCAGGGCTGCAGCACCTCTCTGGTTTGCATGCAGACCTGAGCTGGGGACAGTATCTCAGACCTAAGCAGCACCAGCAAGCATCGGTTCTGCCCGCTGACACATCCAGGCTCGCATGCAGTCTCAGCAGCCCTGTGCCCAGCGGTGCTCAGCCTGGCTCACACATGCACACCAGCTCACAGGAAAATAATCTGCACAAAAGAGGAAGTACAAAGCACAGGGTGAGGATGAGATTAAAAAAAAGCCAGTGCTACACGCTCCTAACCTGTAATGGCATGAAAACTTTTCATGTGAAAGGATCTGGAAGAATGTGTGAAAGCCTGAGTAAACCAATTCTCCCTGATTCCCCAGCTCACCACTCTCCAGACCTCACACACATCCCTTTTCCAGACAGATGTTATCAAATCTGTGATGTCCTTCAGTAAGAGCAAGAAAATACTCTTTCCTTTACTGCACACTGTTCATCTTGAGCTCCTGAGCCATGAGCATGACCTTGCACAAAAGGATTGCCAGGGCAAATATGCTAGAAGACTGTAGTTTTCCTGCCCATCCAACAACACCTCTTGGTACCATGATGGGGGAAAGCCTGCACACACACTGCAGCAGCCTCCGCTCAGGTTGCACTGGAACTCCACCTGAAGAACAGCACCACACACAACCTTACTGATCACATACTGTCCACAGTCCAAGCCGAGCAGATGTGGAGGGAAGCATGACTTACTAGGCACACGGTTGATAGCTTTCAGGGGTCTCAGGACACGGACAGTACGGATTGCAGACAAGTTAATGTTTTGGAGATCCAGGGAGTACTCCACCATCCTGCAGAGAGGAAGAGAGAAAGAGAAGAAAGGTTAAAAGAACCAAACATTTTGGTTTGAGCCACAGAGTTGTCATTTATTCATTGAAGTGTTTCTGGAAGTCCTGGGGGTGAAGTCTGAATCTTTGGGAGCAAAGCTGAAGCCTCCAGGAGCCCTCCAGGAGCAGGACTGGAAACCATGGCTTCCCTGGCAGAAAACATAGGGAGCAGTGAGAGGGTGCCATGTGGATGCAGGCCAAGAGCTGTGATAGCACTTACCTGCTGCGAATTTCAGGAGGGAGAAGAGCTGCATGAAGATCTGCCAACAAGGAGTGTGCACTCCTGGCGAGGGCACACACATGGGGTGGATATTTCCCACGAGGCCAGGAAGAGGAGGGCTGTGTAGCTGGTTTTACTGAGCATTACCTGCAACACAGCAGCATACTCCTGGTCTTTCCCTCATCTCACAGTGCAGGATGAGGTCCCTGGAGGCAGCTTTAGCTAACCTGTTCTACCTCACGTAGAAGCAAGCTCTCTGCTTAAAGAGGAACTGCTTTGCCTAGGCGGAAAGGCTTAGAGCTGTGATTCACTCCTTTCTGACAGCAAGCAAAAGGGAAAAGCCTAATTTTAGGACATATGCTAGACCTTAGCTTTCCTAACCCAGCAGCATGCTCCCTAAATAACTTCAAAGTGCAAATAACTATGACTAATGCATTGGCTTTGCTGCAAGAAAAGTAGATGCAGGTGAAAAAAAGTGACCTGGTCCAGCATCCTGTAGCCCAGTGCTCCCCTCCTTGCCCAGTATGGTGAATATCCAGTAATGTGCCTGCCTCTTGGAAAGCATAGTGAGAAACTGGGTTATACCAAACATTTACCCTGGCCAGCAATTTCCACCTGAGGATCTCAAAGCATTTTGCATGTTTTAGTGAACATAGGTCCATGAGGCCTCCAGGAAGACATGGGCTGTTGTCACCAGCTTCCTCAAGGTGACCTTGATGTGCAGAGGTGGGTCAAGAGGGTGACAGCATCGACAGGTGAAATAGCAGCAGAGTCAGGACAGAAACTGCTTCTTCTAAATCTCTTCTCAGATGTGATTAATGAAGCTATAAAACACTCCCTTTCATTGGTCTATCAACAGGCTCAAGAGATGTGGAAGGATCAGGGGACACAGCCTTTTGTTACTGCACTGTTTCTCAAACCAAAATCACTATAATGTATATAGAAAGACCCATAAGTCAATAGTCCAGTAACCTAAAGTCCACCCAAATCCTTCTGCTCAGGAACCACCGAGGAGTGAATCAGAGAGCCTGAGATGTTGAGAGGGCCAGTCCATAAGAAGTATCAGGGAAAACACTTGATTGAAACTTCAATGGAACAGACCGATCCTTCTATCGATTACCCTCTTCACTCAAAAGGACCTTGAAGAGCAAATGTCTAGTTATCTGTCTACACCTTTCACAAAGGGGACTTGTCAGAGTGATAGATTTTCAAACACAGTGGGGTAAACCTGTCGAAGTGTTGTGATTATTCTCTCTCATGCTCTTTTTCTTTCTCTCCCTTGTTCATTTCACTCTGTTCTCTCATGCACTTTTAGGGTAATTGCATGAAATAATTCTTCCTCTGAAATGCAGTGGCATTCATTTACATCCCTGGAGCTGTCAGTTCCACATACACCAAATGCAGAGGGAGAGAGGAGGGATTTTATGCAGATAACCAAAATATTCACACCCCCAAAAAAATGCAACTCAAAAAACGCCCACCCCAAACCAAGCAGCGATACTTTAGATAGCCTACAGAAAGCATCAGTGACAGACAGAAGCTTGGGATCCAGTCAGATGAAGTATGTATGAAAGAAGGAAGAATGCACACATATAAATGCACAGACATGACTACAGGGCATCATACAAAGGACAAACCTGTGTGGTGCAAACGAACACAGCGCAAAGGGGTCTTGAGTAACCACTGATCAACCTTGCTCCAAAAGCATAAAGCAAAATTGCCTCACCAGTGTGTTGTTGCTCCAGAATTAGACAGACCTGCTGCAACTTTGGAACTACAGTTTTGGGGAAAGCACTGTATGGACATAGCTGTACTGCTCCCAGGACATTGGTTAATACCTCTTCACAGTACAGCTTCACAGATCCAGCTTCATGGCTAAAGGGGTCCTTACACTGCAGTTTGTTATGAGGGGTAGGTATATGGACAGAAACATAGAGGTCTCCAAGCTTGCTGAAGTCACACAGAACTTCCTTTCCTCTCCTAAAAAAAACACATCCCCCAGAGCACTGGGTTGAGACCAGACCTCTGAAGGCAAAGATATTATTTTCAAGCAGTAGCGAACAACCTGAAACACCCTCTGCCAAATGTCAAATAAGAAAATACCCCCAAAATACATCTCATTTCAAAAAGTGGTCTTTTCTGAACTGCAAGTGATTAAATGAGAAGTCTTGAAGAACACCGTGATCCTCACAGAAGCTTAACACAGGGGAACAGCATAGGGCTGAAACGAAATCAGCGGGCAAAGGTGAAATCTTTTCTTAGACTTAGCTATGCAAAAGTCATTTAAAAATAGAACCTCTGTTTACAAAGCTTTCAAGTTCTGTCCTCTTGTGGTTACATCCATGTTGCTGGCATTACAACAGGAGTAACCTTAACCAGGTGCACACCACTGCCCTCTTCTAGCTGGAATGAGCTTGCCACCTACATGGCACAGTCTGTGTGTCACTAGAAAATTAATAATCATCAAAGTAGTGAGCACCGGTCCTTTGAGAGCAAGATGAATGCTACTCTAGCTGCAGCTGTGCAATTCATGCAGCCAGGGAGCCAGTCTCCTGCAGCTCTTGGTGGACACAGATCTGCTGTGATTACGTTCCAGTTTAGCTAGAAAAATAATGCTGAGCAGTCAATCACTCTGACAGTGAACACAGCGGTCTGTTCCCATGCATGGGTCAGAGAAGGGCAACTTATAGCAAAAACGAGCTCAGCCCTAGCAGGCCCCAGGGCTTTGGCTCACTTAGCAGACCCCTTCTGCTTACAGTTCTTCCTGTGGCCTCCTGGTCTTGGCTGAAATAAGAGAGATGCATCCAGGATGCTTAAATCCCTGTGGATGTGTCTATTCTAGCCATGTAAATCATATACAAAATGCTTCTCTTTGCACAAGGGTAGCATGCCCATACCATGATGGACTGCGGGTGACTGCGGTGAAATGAAATTTTATTAATTAACAAAAAAAAACCTCCAAACTTTTATGTGTAAGTAAAACTAATGAATCCAAACATTGCCTCCTTTCTCTAATGAAATGGGATCTTTAAGTGACTCTGCTGTTGTCTCTGGGCATCTTCATCCTTTCAGGGATCACTAACCCAGCTGCTTTTGTTCTTACCTTTCTCCAGCCAGCCCTCCTCGCCACTGCCTGGAAGCCCTGTACTTTCAACCCCCTCTAGGTCTGGGGCTGTACCTGGTCTCCTACTTGCCACATGTGCAGGTGGTGACAGATTGACAGAGCGTCAAAAGGGCTCACCATAAAAAGTGATCAGCCAGAAACTCCAGCAGATTTATATCAGTAGGTTCACATTTTCCCCCTCTGTGTCTCAGGATCTTGAGATGGTGGATTAGGCACACAGTGCTTATTTGGTCTCCCAGGGCAGGCACCCAAACTTCAGTGCTTGCATCCTTATCACACCAGCAACCTGGGTAACTGTGTGTTTGTTAGGTGTTCATAAACCAGAAGCAGGGAAACATTAAAGCTAATACATTTGCCTAATTAAACCCCAGGAACTTTCCAGGATCCTTGTTCTTGCTTTGTGGCAGCTCAGTGCCATGAGTGAGGGTAGCCCCAGGACCTGATTGCCCTTCATCCATTTCTCCCCTCTTTCTTGGTTACTTCAAGCATGTCTTGTTTCTAGAAGCCTTAGTTTCTTTAAAGTCCAGGGACAGTCAAAGTCTGGGATATGGGACAAAAAAATCCCAACTTGTTCTGGTTGTGAGCTGCTCTCTCCCCTTACCATGGTGGGGCAGGGGGAAATGCATCTCTCCCAAGGAAAGGGACATGTCATTTCTGTCACCGCTGAAGTACTTTACAGCTTCTGGTGTGGGTGGCCAAGTGCAGGTACAAGTTAGGAAGCTGGAACCATGCTAAATCAGAAAGAAACTCTGATCCATTTGAGCACTGAGCTGTCAAGGTAACTGAACTTAAACAGTAATTCTTCTTCCCTCACTAGAGATTTTCTTCTTCAAAACTTTCCACATGAAAGTCTTGTGGAAGGAGAGGGGATTGATGCATACACCATCCCCATGGTGTTCAAGGCTGGTGGGAGTGCTGACAGCTGGGAAATGAGACAGAGGCACCAACTGCATGCATGGGGTTGGTCCTGCAGAAGTAAGGGGGATGCCCAGCAGGGAATACATCCCCACAAGAGCTCTGCCTCCCTCCTCGCTCTCAAGGTATCCCACCTCCTCCTACCCCCTCTCCCTCTACTTCTCTCTGACTCATGCCTGCCTGCAACCAGTTCCACCTCTCATTTTAATCTTCCTCCATAAAGTCTAGTTTTTCCATTCACTCCTTAACGTCATCTTTTTCCATTTTGCTTCATATCATATAATCATAGAATAGTTAAGATTAGAAAGGACCCCAAGATCATCTATATATCCTTCTATTCTTTTCCCAAGCCTTTCTTTCCTCTTTCATTTTTCTCTTTATTCCTTTCATCCTTTTCCCTACTTCCCATCTTCCTGCTTCCTCCTCCAACTCAGTCTCTGCCTTGCTAATATACATTAGCTTATACCGGGTAAGTCTGCTCAGCTGAACACAAAAGTGACCTTGAGTTTAACAGAGATAAGACCAAACTAGCACAGGGAACAAGCAAGCAATTTGTTAGCACGTTGACCCTGTCCAGAAAGCACTTGGTCTTCTGTACATCCATTCCATGCTAAGCCACTGGAGCAGAGAGCAAGTACATGAAGACAAGGGGGCATGCAAACCACCAGCTATGCAAACCTTCACTGCTCATGAGGTCTCAACGAA